ACGCTTGACAGGCTAATGTTGAATACCGGATGTGAACAGCTGTAATTTTCCTACGGAACAGTGTCTTGTATTGTTAATTTTGACTAGCTCCACACACGGTTTCCGGTCCTTCATTCAAAATGAAGAGGGAGCAGGATTAAACGTACAAAAATCTTTAGTTCCCTGGGGCTAACTGGGTGTTCTGAGCTGAACACCATTTGTTTTTCTGAGGCAACCAGGGTACTTTTTGGTTGCTTCGTTCGCTTTAAAAGCGGAAATAACTCGACTTCGTAAGGTTCGCTCTAGAGGGTCGAAATGTCAATTTCCTTTTCCTGTTAGGAAGCTTTCCTTATAAACTTTTTGCCCATGAAGGAGCTAGCTGAAAGGATCAAAACTAGGAGGATTGACGTGTCATAGAAATTTTTGGAGGTAGAAATTTAGGATTAAGGCGACTTGGTAACGTGATACGGAATGGGCGAAAAGGGAGAGGAGGGAGTGGAAGGGAGAAAAATAAAGTTGCACTACCCTTCGGATCAATTGTACATTAATCAGACTCATTACGGGCCTGCAAATACAACGCTTGTAGTTTCCACCATTAAATTCCGGACGCTGGCCAGCTTATGTCAGATGGCAGATGGTACGACGAGTTTCTTCGTTCGCTGCTCGAGTTGCCCTGCAATCTACTATTATTCTCCCAGACACATCTGTAGGCGTCTCCCACAAACACTGAAATCACGCAAGTTGTCTCGCCAAGTAACATCCACGACTGATTTTACAACCATAAATATCAGTGAATACGCTCGGTGAGAACAACGCGCGGACTTCGGAAAATGCCTCCGAGGTGTGGATTTTCCATGTGGTTACGCTTACGAGTGCGCCTAACAGTCAGGTCATTTTGGAAGCTCAGCAGACCGACAACCAATAAAAGCAGGTTTGTAGTCTAGGCGGGTCCTGGCCTAAATGATCTGTTTGTTAGAAAAATTTAATTTCAACTTAATCAGCGCGAAAAACGGAAGGATGAAGGAGCCCGCAAGGAGTTAAAACGGAAGGCAAGAAGTCCAACGTTTATAAAGTGTGGCACACTGGTGGGTGCCTTCAAAAAATAGGGAGATAGGAAAGCTTCTGGAACTAATCCTAAAGCACATAACGTTTGCAGGAGCTAATTTCGCAGTTGAGGTGCCTCTGGCCTGTGTCCGAGAGTGTAGCCTTCCTGGCGTGAACAAAAGACCATGGGCGACATGGAGGAGTACTATAGCCTTGCAAAGTTAGATCTAGTCATTTTCGTTAAATAGTTACTCAGAATAATGTAGATTAATTTAAAAAAGACAAAAGTTATCGATAGATAAGGGAACCAACATTTTCGTATATATTTATGCTGTGTGGGCTCCATTCTGTTATTCCGTTTTTTTAAGATGGTAGTTAAAGCTTTCAATCTCAGTCAAACGTGTTTAGGGAGTTAGGAGATTTGTGCAGTGGCATTCGAGGACTTCGTTCATTTTTCTTCCCTTCGATTGGCTATATGCAGTAGCTCTTAGATGCACCCCAGATATACGAAAACGGGTGGCCATTTGAAACGTCAAGGAACAAAGGCGAGCCCACGCATGATTTGATCTACGGCCCTGTGAGGCTTTGTGGATTAATGAAAATGACAATTACAAAGTGAACAGCTAGCACATGTTCTGCAGAGGCTATAGGAAAGCAGTTTTAAATCGGAGAAAAAACATTTGTTTCGAATAACCCGACTACATGGTCTTGAAGCTCCTGAGAATGAATTACAAAAATAGAGGCCTAGTCACCTATGCAGGCACGTGTACAATAGTCCGTTCGTCAAAGTAGATGACGATCAGAGCTACCGTGAGGAAGTAGTAGAGGCCACCACATTAATTGAACTACGGCAGCACCGAAGACTCTCTACGTCTCTGATGAACACCTGTAATGTTGAAATGACAAGACCAGTACAAAATGACTGGAGATTTACGTGAACTTAAGTGTCCTACAAGCGTTTGCCTGCTATATGGGTATCACGCATCTACTGAGTGATCAGTGTACCAGAGCCAGACTTCAATCATCAAAAGCTCACAAAGCTGACAGGTTCCATAAAGACCCAACTAAGAAATAATTGTAGGCGCACTGCATTTCGCAGGATGACTAAGCCAATTACTTGATTACTCCCCAGCCACAACTGTTAAGGATACTAGTGCCTCAAAAGTACGTCCAACGCATTATGGATATGAAAGGCCACACTGGGCGGGCCTTAATCGCTAAGCGTTGAAGCTCGAACGGCTGACAATCGACGAGCTAACGTAGTCCTCTTCAGGGCTATTTTGAAGTGGCTGAGGAGGTGCGAATATGCAATGTGACGCGTTCAAGATGCTCTCACTGAGCTGTGAGCTTCCAGGCGCCCTAACAAAAGTCTGGTAGATTCTGCGTGAACCAGGTCATATGTGGTGCGCGTAGATGGGCCGTTTATCTATGTCAGTCCCTGCCCTCGAGACCGCCCTAGAGAACAGTTGAGGAGAGAGGCAAGTATGGCAGACGTTGTGGATGCTTGTCTCGTGCATGCTTTCCGTGCTTCATTCACTTCGAGCGGTGGACGTCGACCCGCGCGACGCTCGAGTCCCTTAGAACTAGAGTAACTGAGCAGGCCTGTTGCCCCACTTCGCACATGTTGTAAACCTATCGAACATGCGCCGTCAGCTTTGATGGCGCGCACGACTAGGACATGCAGTACTACACGGAGACAGAAGAACATACACACACACACAGAGAGGGTTGAGAGGCGGGGAGCGTTGACAACACAAACAGTTACCATGACGAGTTACTGCTGAGACGAGTTGATTGCGCTTCCGGAACAGCGGCCATTGACTCCACAGAGGCCTCAGAGCCTCCCGTGCTGGTCAGTTGTTGGCGAAACGCCTCCTGCAAGAAGATGATTTTAAAGAGCATATACGCACCACGAATTTGCGGGGTTTGGGAGGCACAAAGTGGGTCTTCACTTGACCACATCTGTCAAGATATGGAAGAGCCTGAGGAAACGGACTATCAGGCCTGCAGGAAGAAATAATTTGCCAGGTTATGTATGGTATTCTGCGAATCGCAACAAAGAGTTTCGTCGTAAAAAACCTAAACTTTCCGCTTTGTTAGTTTATACCTTCTCCAATTTGCATGTTTAATGCCGTTGATTAGATTCTTCGGAAGAAATGACAGTGGCCCTGCCGAAAGAGATTAGAAGGGTCAGCTGAAACTACTATCCTTGGCGATGTTTTCCGCTTAACATTCAGGCATGGAGGGCAGTCATATAAACGTGGAATTTGGTAACTGCACCACTAGGTACTCACAGCAAAAAATGCTTATATTTGGTGTCCGTAAATTTCAGTGGTTATGCGTACTTTTTAATAGCTCTAGCCAATTCTTGGACAGGTAAAAGATGTCAAGGAGGCGAAGCAAGATGTTCGTCTCACCTAAGGCTTTAAATGCTTATTTTCTCCTATTTAAATTTGGGATTTGAGATGAGTTCACAGTGCTAAAAATGTTGCAAATCCTAGCCCTGACATCCGTGAAACGGTAGTAGTACTCGCGACCGGAAATAAAAATGAGTGATCTGGCTTAAGAGCTAATAAAGCTATATCACAGAGCGATAAACATATGCGAAGGAAAATAGCTCTTCCGGAAATACTTGTTGTAATTCACGAGGCGCGTTCCGAGAGGACAAAGCCCGCCTGTTAGCTTAATGTCTGGCTGAACAACGGGAGCGAGGCGGCATTCTGAGAGGGCATACAGTGAAGTAGG